TGCCATTGTGAGGCAGCTTGGGAGAGGATGGCAATGAAGAGTCCGTCATCTCCTCGATGTCAGAGTGAGAGGAGGCCGACTTCGGAGATTTCTTCTTGCTGAATGCTTGTTTGAAGGAACTTCGCAACTGCAGGAAACAAAAAGAAGAAAGAAAGCAAGGCGATGAACAGGTGAGGTTATTAGAAAAGCTGTTGAGAGGGGAAGTAGTGGGAAAACTGCAAGTGAGTCACAGGGAGAAGAAATAGGGGGAAACTGTCTTATGACTGACTCAGAGCTACAGCCCCAAACACAGTGTAATGTGTTATGTTTACACTCTTATGTAAACATATTTGTTTTCTTCTTCTTCATGTTAGTAATTTATTTAAGGTGTTTTGGCAATCTCCTACAAGAACCACAAGCATTATGGTTCTTCTGACATTTTCAGGTGAATTTTTCCTTAAAGAGCCAGCTCAAGCGTCATGAGAGCAGCTTTCAGGGAGAAGTAGTGTTAGAAAGGAGAAGAAAGGCACTACAGTGACAGCAAAGTGCAGGAAAGGAAGAAGAGGGCCGATGTTAGTAACCTATAAAAAGTGCAGGGGTTAGGCTTCTTTCCTTTCATTTCACATAGCGTACCATTCTTACCTCATACACCTGCCACATGAAGCGAAGCACAGGAAGACAGAGAGACAAAACAGCACATGTTCATATGGGTTTGGGGGTGATAATGTGTTATGGTGGGACAAACAGATTAAACTAGAGATGCCTACAGGACTAGAGATTTTATTTGACTTCCAGGCAGCTGCAAGCTAATTCTACATCATAGCCACCATGAAGCGAGGAGTCTTTCATGATCCATTATATACTCTCCAACACACGCTGCCCCCATGCACTCAACACATCACTCACTGTATGAGCAGCACCTGCATGGAGGAGGCTCCTGTGGGGTCTCATCTATCCAAGCAGTGGTATTTTATTATCACTGTGACCTAAGGCAGGAAACTCTAGAGGATCTGATGTCTAAAAGTGCTACATTGCTCTTCCTGACATTTGACAACATCTGGATTGACAAGCACAGGTGGCCAAACACATTGTTTCAGTCAACCAGGAGGAAGAGAGGGAGGAAGAAAAGTTTCGTACTTCATCATCTCTGACTTGTCCTCCGGTGCACAAAAAAGTCTTTCAACAACAAAAAATTTTTAAGTGTCATATTTGTTGTATGATCACTAATAAAAAAAATAAAAAAAAACACTAATGACTCAACATTGGGACAACACTCTATCCAGAAAGCATTACTACATAATTTACAGGTCAAAAGACAACTACTACATTTAGCTAAATATCAAGGTAAAACGCTGATGTTTTCTGATCTCTAAAATAACCAGTCAAATCCATCATTACTTGCTTTTCAACAACACTGAGCCTATGAAAATACTGTTTGTAATCACCTTCTCCCCAGTCAAAGAACGCTAAAGAGGAGAAACACAAAGATGTGTCACCCACACAAATATGAAAATGCAGATACACAAGACAAAAAAAAAAAAAGTTAAAAAATGGCTGCTTGTTGTCACACAGTGCAATCACCTCCTTGTACATAATCTATTTAAACTGCTGGCTTCTTACCCAGTTCTTTTTGTTCTTCTTTTTGTTTTTAGCGTCAGCATCCATGTTGGAGCCCACACTCGAGTGGCTGGTCGCGCTGGCAACACTGCTGACGCTGTCGGAGGAGTGCTGTCTCTTGATGCGCAGATCTGGCTGCTGGTTCTGTTGCTGCTGCTGCTGCTGCTGTGGACTGCCATTACTGCCAGCTGGAGAGACAGAGGATGGGGAAAAGATGTATGGCATTACAATGTGTCCCATGATGACCTTTCTCCCAGACATGTCTATACAGAGCCTCTATACTAGAGTGCCTTTGCATGATTCCCAGTTAATAATCCTGATATTATTGGCACAAATTCAAATTGCTGTACTGAGGCGTTACTGTTATTTTCTGTACCTGTGCGATCCCCTTTAGGTGTAAGTTCAGGTGTGTTAATGACTCCATTGATAGCAGCCTGAGCAACAGCGTTCTGCTTTTTCAGAAGCTCGATGGTCTTCCTCAACTCATTCAGCTCGGAGTCCTGTACAGAAAAAACATGATGATCAACCTAACAATCATCTACAGAGACTTTGTACACAGTAGTTTTCTTTCAAACATCAGAAACCAAACATTTTTTTCTTTTTTTCTTTTCTGTTTTTACCTTCTGCTCGGCCGTCAAGGTGAGACTCTTCAGCCTTATGGTCATGTTGCCCAGAGACTGTTCAAACGCTGCCACCAGGTGAGCCTGACAAGAAACAATCAAATTGCATCTTAACAACTCCTTACATAACATGGCAAATATACAAATACACAAATTTTAGCTAACTTCAGAGAGCTAAGTGGTTCGTGTATAAAGAATTGTATCCCAAGTCTGTTTTATAATATCCTGCAAGTGTATGAAACAATCTTGATTTAATAAACAGAGACAATAAGAAAATGAACGGCCTACTTTTTGGATGAACGGAAAAAAGTGAGACACGTTAACCTTGAGGCTAAAGCCCAAACATGTTAGTCAATCCATCTTCACACCAAAATGAAAACATAACCAAACCCAAATAATATACTAACCAATAATGTCCTGGGAAAAAATATTATCTTCTGGAGAGGGCACATTACGAGTACAACTATGACAAAACTGTTCCAAAAACAATCCTTGGCTCATTCAAGGCCACAGACAGTCAACGATTGGTCAGACCTAGTTTAACTCTAGGTGGTGTTTTTTTTTTTTTTTTACACGACCTTCTGAGAAAGAGGTAACTTGGGTATGTGTTCACAGTTCAAAAGAAATACAGACACAGACATGACATGTCAAAGAAAAATAATGTGAGTGCCAAGGATTAAAACTGGAGACAAATTTACAACAAAAGACTTGAACTATTCCTTTTGAGTGACATGGATCATTATGGTGATTTAAACAGTTAGACATGGGTGAACTTGCTCATCCTTCACTATTATGTTCTGGGCTGTGAATATAAATGTTCCGCAGACGCCTGTAGAAATGTGTGTGAGAGTTGAGCACAGTGCTGACTGACATCGTGACTTTTTAGAGCAGCCTCCAGGGCTTCAAGGTGTGTTCAGATAATTCATCATGCATATAAATACATTTGAACAAAGCCCACCTCCCCAATACCAGCTCCTGTCTGCTCCGTCTGTGCTTATCTTTCAACACTCGTGTGCACTTTGTGTATCCAGGCGTCATCGACAACAAATCTTTACTCCACATCTGGGACAAACCCTCGGCATTGTGCTGGGACTTGACACTGCTGTAATGTAACACCTCTGCCTTGCTTCCATATCTCTAATCCACAGTGAAACTACTAGCAAGCGCCCACTCAGGCTGAAGATTACCAGCTGAGCGTGGCAGGACTTGTGCAATACAGGAGCAGGGTTGGCAGAAATGATCATGTCTAGAGATGCTTAAAGAGATGTTCTGATCATTCTACCAGTTGTAAAATGATACCTGTAAGAGATATCCCCTCAGTCTGAATAAGTGTTTCTGCCTGTATTTGGAAAATGTTCAGGAATTTGAGAAAACGCTGGCATTTTAAAGAGCTCAATATGTTTGTTAAAACTTCTCTAATTAGCAGTTAGAAATGAGCATATATGGAAATTATTTGACATATAATGGCTTATTTAGCTTAATCTTTGGAAAATAAAAACTATATACTATATATAATAAAAGGGTTTTTTTAACCCCTTTGATAGTTTTGACAGATGTTCTTCAACAGTTTGGGTTTGCATGTTCATAAGTGCTTGAGGCCTTACATTTGCACTCAGTTGTGTTGTCAAGGCTGAAACTTTTTCCTGGGAGGCATCCAACTCCCGCCGAAGCTTGCGAATCTGAGGATTTACAAGAAAAAAAAAATGCCATGACATCAAAAGGCGCCAAAACAAAAGCATACACACATAGATTTAAATACATGCATGCCTTCATGGAGCATGTATGTAACGCTAAGCACATAAATGCATCCAGCATCAAAAGAGTCAGGCTCCCAGATTGAAGCTCTGAAGCTGTGATTGAAGTTCAGGTTCAGCGGTGAAATGGCAGAAAGCATAAAAGAGCACGCGCAGGTGTTCACAGGAACAAGAGCTTGTTACAGGGTCAGTCACAATACAGCTACACGTGTATCTGGATCCAACTGTAAAAACATCCCCGTGTTCCAACAAGTCCAGTGGCTGTGTGCGGAAAATTAAAGAGGAGAGAAGTGCTGTGGGCGGGCTGATGCTTACCTCCGACTGAGACTTTTCCTCATTCTGTAAAACAAACACCAGAAGATAAGAAAACCATTAGAGGGCACCACTGACTGAATTGAGACAGACTTTAATTAAAAAGCAGAGCAGAGTGGAGGTTGGAGCACACTCTCGTCTGATTTGTTAGCTCCATGGATATGAGCTTTATAAACTGTGGAAGATATTGTCTGGCGTAATATGTCTGGAAAGTAGAGAAATCCTCCTAAAGGCATTTCACTGAGAGATTCATTGTCTTGACAGGCTACACATGGAACAATAGTAAGAAAAGACAGGTAGTCAAATATGTACAGAGTGAGAGCATGCAAAACAAACGCTCGCACGAACACAACACACCCTGCTGCCGTTCACCAAAACAGCGAAACACGCAACACCCACATTTATGTGTAAACACACTGCAACGGAAAGATCTTTCTTAGCAAGAGGTCAGTGTATTGTTGGATCAAAACTGGCCTCCCTGAGGCTAAAATTTAATACGACTATGAAGCCGTCTTACGCCATTTCCAACCAATGACAGCGACGTAGCAAATGCCTCAGTTTTCCATGAATTTTGCATCTTCTGATGAAGATTAGATATAAGATTTAATATGAAGCTTTTAAATACGAAATTACATTTATAGAACTTTGCAGTGTGATTTGCAGTGTGATCAACAGTCTTTCAGCATAGCTCCTGAACTTGAGCAGGAGAGCTGATAAGCCACGATTTTTCCATCTGTCCACTTTCCAGCTCCTGATCGGAGCAGCAGCACGCAACAGCTTTTATCATCTAATCTGTGCACAGAGGTGTGTGAGCACATCTGTGTTGTGGCACGTGGCATCTGTCCACATACGCAAATGGAGCTGTCAATTGCATGCAAACACTAACACACACACGCACACACACGAAAGGCTTATCCTAGATACACAAACAGCAGTCTGTCTTGGAAACGCAGACAAAACATATCATGTATTTTCTCTGTGGTGACACATAAGCTCTTCAAATGTGAATATAATTTAGTTAGGCAAAATGTTTGTGTGCTTTTAAGGACAAGCAATAAATAGGATAAAAGAAATTTCATATCAGTGTGATTTCTAACCTGGAGACCTTTAAACTAAACTGCAAATGAATCTCTGAAATCAATCAAGCACCATTACCTCGCAATCTACACTCAGAAAAAAAAAAGAGTTCCACATAATCAGATAGTTAACAGCTGTATTCAACACTCAGACCACAAGAAAAACAACAAAGACTTTCTGCACCCTACGGCCCTGCTCCGTCTCATCCCTACCGTTAGTTGCCACGATGCGACAGCGCCTGTCAAGGATAAAGTTGCCATCATTTTGCTTCCAGTCTCTTCCCCTCTGTGATTTTGAACCTGCGACTCTTTATCTCAAAAAGAACCAGCCAGTGTCTGAGAGTTTCTCTGCTACACCTGCCCAGGTGAGGAAACTCACACAGGGAGGAGGAGCCACACTGTGAAGCACAAACCTCTGACTGGCTACAGTGCATACTCGTGGGCTGTCCCGTGTGACTTCAAACAGCCAATTTCTCACAGGATCTTTGAGTTACATATCTGCGCGGATTAGGGGGTAAATTCACCAATTCATGTAGTCAGTATATCATAACTGCGCTGACAAAAGAACAAACTGGTTTCTCCAGTTTCCATGTGAATTGTGGTGCTGCTGCAATACCACAATACCTGCTGCTTTGCAAAGACTGCCTTAAATGAGATTTTGCCTTTTAGATACCATCACAAAAGTGCACGCTTTTTCAGTAGCAGTTATATTGAAATGTTTTTCTTATTCTTTATTTACCCAAAAATAATGTATCCAGAAAAAATGCACTGCTTCTCTTTTGCATCACTTTAAAAATGTAGTTTTTATTCAGAACCTCAGTCATATATGACTAACTCTGTTTAACTTGGCAGTTTCTGAACTCACCGTGGAGTAAATGGAAGAAGTGCTGGAGACCAGAGACAGAGATGATCCGTGAACTGAAAAGACAAAATATGAAAGCAGTGATTAGAAATTACATCTGTAGACACAAGCACCTTCATTATCAGCAGACCTCCCACACTCCCCTCACTAACCACCCACTCTTTTCCAACACTGCCCACCCAGCACGGTTCCTCCCAGTCTTCCCAGCTCCTGCCCACCTCCTCATAAATGACATAATGACTGCCGAGATAAAGAACTCCTACATGCAGCAGTCAGACTGTGGCGCAACTAATGACTCAACTGGTAATAACACATCAGAGGCAGGGAAACAACACCAGCACTGTTTCCTGGCTGTGAGCAGATCAGAAAGGATCAGCAGTGTGATGTCATCAACCGCACCGAGAGGTTGTGCCGATCCCAGCTGATTTATTAGTTCATAAATAGCCTTGTAAGTATGAGATGTGACTCACTTTTATCTTGATTTGGTCTAGACAGAATCATGTGCTGGAAGCCACATGAAAAGGTGAACTGCACTTTAGTTTTAGATCATCATTATTAGTTTACATCTTTTTCTAACTACTAATATCCATTATTCTTCACAGAAGTTGTTTGATTAAGGACGCCGGTAGCGCTGAAGGTTTTATGAGTGCAAATTCCCAGTAAGTCTCTTTTAGCCTGCAGATGCAGGAAGAGGATCAGAACATACAATGATAAAATGGGGAGGCTTTTGGGTGGAGGGGATGGAGTGAAACTGTATAATGGTGTCGCTCTTAAAAAAAGGACAGGTCCGACAAAGTGTTTTGAGTATAATGTGACTTTTGTCCTGTCACTCAAAGAACAGTCGGGTAACTCTACACTTGGGTAATACGCACATGTACACACACACACACACTCTTATCCTCACAGGCCTGCACACTGCAAACCAACACACAAACACACAGCAAGAGTGTGTGAGATGGAGAAAGTTATGTCTGAGTAATCTTGAATGTCACCACATATCCCTCACACCTCACTGTGAACCCTGTCATTATCTCCACTAGTAAAAGAGAGGACAGACTCGTAGAGCTGGAAAGAACTGAGGCAGATATGCTATCGGGAATGGCGGTGTCTTAATAATAAGTTTGCAGCGAAGTAACTGTGCGTGCACATTCCACCAAACTCTTAAAAAAAACCAAAAAAAAAAAACCAAAAAACAATCAGGTGTGCGTGACTTTCAAAATTAAGGCAGCTTTGAAACTGTGTACACGAGAGAGGACACGACTAACCGGTGACCTTAGTCTCTTAGCAAAAGAAAGCCTTAAACATGTGTTTGCTTAGAAATGTAACAGTGTTCTGGAGGAAGATAACGGATGGCAAAAGGTGAAATCATGAACATGTCTGGTATGGCTGACAAAAGATGTTTATCAGAGTTTGATATTTAAAAAAAAAAAAAGAAAAAAGGTTTCAATGTGGAATTTAGAAGAACACATACAATCAGCTGTTTCACAAAACGTGTTACCAGATTTGATGTCTTTGCTCATGGCTTTGTCCTCTATATTTACACACCGCCTTCACTGTGGAGGACACACATGCCTTTGTATTCCTTTACAGTTTTGGGTGTGAAACCCGCCTGTGATGATCATCTGTGCTTTCAAGTTTTACGTCAGCATCCTATAACCTAAAACCAACCAGGATGACTGTGACAAATTTGAGAGGAGTATAAATTTCTGCACTTTTTTTAAACTATAAAATGTTTCACTTTACCTCCTAGCATGTCTTTCAGCTGCATTATAATAGGTTATGTGTTTATTATGGTTTACTGAAATCCAAGTTCACAGCAAACTACTGTTTTAACATCACTGAATGCTGGGTTTTTCCCCATTGAGAGAACAAAATACTGTGCTTCCTTCACTCTCCCTTCTTCTCTTCCCCCCCTCCTCTAAATCAAAGTGCTGTTTCTATGGCTCAGAGGATTGGGATGGCTCCAGCAGAGAAACCTCTCCTGAGTGGGGAGTCTGCCCGCTGGTGGGAAAAGCACTGGTGGGTACTTTTCCCAATAAACAAGCTTATGAAAAAAACAAAGCCACACTAAAGCTGATTATGGATTTCTAAGGGGGATAAAGGGCTTTTCTTTGAGGAGGGGTTGTAATCTGCCCTAATGTTCTCTAAACAAATGGAATAATAATTCTTTTGGCATGAGGACGTGAAATAAGGAAGCTGAGGCTTCACAGTCACAGAGGGATGGGGGGGCATGCAGTTCTTAGAAAAGGATTACACCTAATTACAGATTTCACCAAACATCTGAGGAAAACGTGGCCAGGACTCACACGGAGCCACCGAATATTCACCAAACCACCACATCCAGCTTTTTCCCGTCTCCTCCTACCTTCTTCGAAGCCATCCCTGAAGGATCCCGATCTGCTCATGGTGCGTGTCTTCTCGTCAAGCGACATGCAGGAGTTTCTCAGACGGTTGTCACAGCAAGGGTCGATAGGGGCATCCTGATTGGTCAGGCTGTTGTTGCGCAGACCACCAAGGTTAATCTGAGCTGATGAGGTCGGGCTTGATGCTGTGAAAATGATATACGGCAATGTAAAAGTTGGCAAGCATTACATTTCTTTGTTACTCAAAGTTTATAAAATGTTATAAAATTGTGACAAAGGACTAAGGTAACATTGTCAGATGTGGAGACATACCGAGTTGTCCAAAGTTGAAGCGTGTTCCAGAGGGGGAGGTGAGGCTGGAGCCGGGAGAGAACGGAGAATTGCTGGCCGAGTCCTGTAGGCCACTGGTGGAGTGGGAGCGCAGCCAATCACGGGCCTCCTCGTGGCCTCGCAGCTGTGGTGAGGGACCATACCTACAGGACATCAAAGACAAAAAAGGTCAAACCAGAAGTGAGGACACAGAGCAGAACAGGTCTCCGTTTTTACGGATGAGTTGATCTCGATTTGGATTTTTTTCCCCAGATACGTCACAATCAGTGAGATGATTTCTTTCTTTTTTTTTGCTGAAGCAAACTGATTAATGGCTTGGATTTAGCGACAGATGAATCAGATGCTGAAACAATTTAAGACAACAATGTGCCAACACTGACCGACTTCCAGCTGTGAGAAACATAAACTAGCAGGAAAAAAAAAAAAAAGCAGAGCAGAAGCCAAAGAAAATCTGAGGCCCACAATCAAGTGTGCTGCATCGAAGCACAGTGACAGATCTGTACGGGGGACAACGCGACATGCCTCTGCACAGAAGCACAACACAACAACAAATGTGCCAAGTGCTAAATTAAAAAGAAAAGCATTCCTGAAAGCGTGACAACAAGCCTCGAAGACTGAATGTGGACGCAGAACAACAAAAAGAAAGGCGGAGGACAATTTAGTGAACCAGTGTGCAAAAGTGCAACATGACCAGCGGGGGAGTGAATTCAGTACCTGAGTCCCTTCTTAGGCAGAGTGTTTCTACCACAGTGTGGTCCGCTGTGGGAGAGAAACACTTCAGAAGAGGAAAACAAAGGAAGCAAGGAGGCAAGGAAACATGTGTGGCTGCATCTCTCAACAACTACCAAATTATATTATTTCTAGACTGCAAAAAACATCCATCTTTACATGTTGAGTCATCTTTTTTTAAATTTTTTTGGACACAATTTTTCAGTTTTTCTGTGGAAAAGAGTTTAAAGACTCAGAAAGATAAATAAAAATAATGATCTGAGATTGATATTTTTGCAGTGAAAACTCAAACACAACCTAAGCTCATGCTGGCATCTCTGTACTCTACCACAAGGTGGCGATAAGTGAACAGTCATAACAGACTAGAAGCTGTCCGCCAAACAAAAACACTGAAGCTGCCAACATCCACACAGACACCCTCACAAATGCACTCTGACACACAACCATTCACACAGTAGCTTAAAAAAAAGGTCATAAAAACAATATCCACACAAACCACCACACAGAGCGACACATTTCAAACTAAAACCACAAAATACTAACTAACTACCGCACAGAGGGACTCTCTGAGGTTATTGGTGGTGCTCTCTGTGTGACAGCAGGTGGTGGTTTAGTAGGTAAATCCACAGCTGTTTCACCAGAAGCCTAGCACTTGCATACAGGTACATTTTACCTGTCCTGCCTCCGAGGTAGGGTGTTTCGGCTGAATATAGGGCTAGCAGAGGGGGAGGAGAGGGGACTGATGGAAGACAGGAAGGGGAAAAAAAACGCACAACAGACACAGAGAAAGAAAGTTTTTAGAAAATAACGCAAATGAAGAAATGTTTAAGAACAGATCAAGTCCATGACGCTTCACCAGCGAAGCTAATAAGAAAACTCAGCGAGGGTGATGTCACCTCCTTAAAGCTTGAACTTCAGATGCTATTAAGTTTCCTCTATGTCATTCCTGTCACATTACAAAGTCAACCTGTCAGGATGGAATCTGCTACAATGACCACAATTACTGTATAATCAGCTGAGGGCGCCACGGGATTATGTTTCTGCTGGAGTGCAGACAGAATGACAAACAAGAAGTGACAACTCACCATGGTGGATGCTTTATACATCATTTTGATTCTGAGTTCTTTAAAAGGTAGCTGATGTCAAGTCAACAGAATGTTGGACACAATAGATCTTAGAATAAAAGACTTCAAGTGCTCACTAGAATTAAGCATTATACAAACCATTTTTTACTTAACCTACGCTTTCATATGTAAGGAGCTTTTTATTTGCTTCATTAGGCCATGACCATTTTACATGAGGCATGCATTTCTTATTACCCTTCAACTGCTGTTTGCAGCTACAGTGGTCATTCATTAATAGCTGGATTCAGCTGGATTGTATTATTTTACTACAATTACTGTCTTATTTGTCCTTTTAACTAACAACTCTTTTTAGCTGTTGCTATCTTAGCTTTTAGAAACACAATGTTATAATGAGGCACTGATCTGACTGAGAAACTGAGGCACACTGCAAGGTCATGAGATAACTAACCTGCTTTACTGTCTTTTTTTAACATAATGTACCAAAAGAACATTACAACTCAAAACTAGTCAACACCATAAACATTAGTAAAGTGCTTACAGAGGTAACAGTTAAGAGGACTTCTACACAATCCGACTTTTTTTCTCCTCAGGTGAACTGTCATTAATGTGAAATCTTCTGCAAAAATCAAACTGATGAATGTAAAATATTAAAGGGCTCAATGTTTGATCATTCGTAGGAAATGTGTGTTCTAACCTTTCAGACATGCCGGTCTTGACACTGCCGGTGCGACCCAGAGCGGACAGCGTGTCCTCCCTGTGGGTCCCGTGGCCGCCACCTCCGGCGCTGCCTAGGCTCATGTCGATGGACTCGCTGCTCGTGTGCATGCTGCTGACAGAAGGGAAACCCACGCTTCCAGTTCCACCGTGTCCACCCAGGGTGCTCTCCCTGCTCTGCACAGAGGAGCTGCTCAGGGTGGTTCCCCACGTCAGGCTGTTGGAGGGTCCAGTGGAGGAGTACACAGAGCCAGGGCTGGAGGCCTGAGGATGATCAAAAATTAGATTTAACATAATAAAAAATAAATAAATAAAAAAAAAAATCTGCCTATATTTTGAAGTGATTATTTTGTGATGTGCAGCAATAAGATAGAGCACTGACACAGTCCAATTAAACTTGCTGATTTACACATCTCGCAGTCACAGAGTAAGATTATCATATTGGGAGACATGTTTCTGGCCTAATGGGTTAACCTTAGTTAACCCTGAGCTGATGAGGGAAAAATATATTGATATTGACCTTCTTCTAGGTCTATATTTTATCCCTACAAACTAGCATTTGGCTCTTTAACTGCCAAAAGATCGACTGTGTTAGCCGTGTTTTTACTGAGTGGCCTGTTTTGGCCCAGGACAATGCTAACCCTATTATAAAAGCAAACAGACATATTTTTAAACATGCACCCTCACAAGTATACAAGATGTTCTAGTTTTCTCAGAGGATGTATATTCATTAGGATAACTGAGTATTTGGATATCTTCGTGCCCACTGTTTAAAAAGACACGACTGCTACTTTGTAAAAGATGACAAAGTGTGACACTTCATGATTCATAACTAATCTGGTTAAGCCTAATGAATCATGTGTGAACATGATGGAAAGGTCATGATCCAGCATGCTCACACATTTGTGCTGTGCTGCAATATGTAGCCTACAGTCAATCCAACAAGTACACACACTGCCAGGTTCTACTTCAACTGAACACACCTAACAGCAGTTCGAGGAAATTACCACATTTGTGGAATTAGTAAGGTGAGAACAGAAATTATCTCCATGTCCCTCCCAAAGCCTTGTAGTAGTTCTACAAACATATCTCACGTGCTTAACACACATCTGGATCATTGCTGAGCTCAGAGGCGCATAACCATTTTGAATCTAAAAGCCGAACCTGACCTTCTTGTTTGGATGTCGACCAGAAATCGCAAAGCTAACACGTGCAGTCGCTGTAGCATTAACTCTAAAGACCAGATGGATGTCTGTGCCAAATTTCATGGCAACCCGTTTAACTTTAGTTCATGTAATCCCTGACCAACCACGGAGGAATAGGCACGTCTTCTGACTTTGGAACTGCCTTCAAAACCAGATGGTACTTCTCAAAGGCCTAATAAATAAAGTTGGGAACTCTTTCAATTCATCCTTTGTACTCCATGAATTCATTAATTAATACCTTCTTGTCATGCTGCAAACATGTTTCTTATTTTTGTATAGCTGCTTTTAAGCCACAAAACAAACCAAGTAGATACTTTGGCTCTTTTTATGGTAACTAACAGGTGGTGAGCAGTTGGAGAACTGTACAGCTACATGTAAAAGTACAGCTAATGAATAAGTAGCTGTTCCCTTGACAGATCCAAAATCGACATCTACTAAAATCAACTAATATCCAGTCTAGTTCAGCAATTTCAAAAGTTTAAAAGACTGATAGCACCTATAGTGTATAAATGAAATTCTTTCTGTAGAGAATAAAGAATCTTCTTGATAGATGTAATATTTTTTATTTGACTGATATTCTAATCCAGTCTCTCCATTATTTACGTCCTGCTCACCTGCTCACTGCCCAGCGTGCCTGTCCCCGATCCAAGTGCCCGGCCTCCAAACAGGTGACTGCTGGTTTCGTTGTCCAAGCAACTTAGTCCTCCATCGGGAGACTCCAGCACTGTAGCCACATGATTCATGGTAGCATGGGGGTTGGAGATAACAGTAGAGTTCTTCATGCTTTCAGCTGTGGTCACTGGCGCCTGTTTACTGGGCTTTCCACCAAATAATCTGTGGTAAATGCGGAAGAGGCAGAAAAGCTAAAGTGCTTGTAGTAGAGCAGAAAGTGTGCAATCTTGTATTTGTAATCAGCAAATTCACAATTAACACTGTAGTATATCATCGCATAAATAATTCCATTTCGATTTTTGTATACAGCACCAAACCATAATCGCCCAAAGGTGCTCTATATTGTGAGATAGAGAGCCTACAATAATACAGAAAAAAACTAACAATTATACAAGCCCCTATGAGCAAGTACTTGGTGAGAGTGGGAAGGAAAAACTCCCTTTTAACAGGAGGAAACTTCTAGCAAAACCAATTTAAAAAAGTAGCATATTAATATTAATAGAAAATAGAAAAAGGAGTAAAATGTTTAGAGAGTACCATCATTCTATTACATTTGTGTTGAGATGATGATCATCATTTCATGTTATTACTCTGAAATTTACTCTGGAAGCATCGGGCATTCGCTGAATTTAAAAATAAAAACCTTAATAAACATATGAATAAATCAATACACTGAACTAAAGCTGCCAAAGCTAGAAAAGAAGTCAGTTTGATCTTACAGGTAAGGACAAAAGGCTGTGTTGTACTTCAGAGCACCATATTTATGATAGAAGATAAAACGTCTAAAATATGACAGAACAACTTTTGTTGTTGTTGTTGTTTTTTCTTTCATCAATACCTTAGTTTTATAATCACTGAAAGCTGAAAACTAAAACTTAGATTACCTGGACAGCCTAGTTTGGAGCTGTGGCAGGATTAAAGTGTTAAATGGAGCAGCAAAGTGATTTAAAAGTGCTTTTGTTTTGCCAACAATTCAACTGTATTCATTTCAACTCTGTAACAAAGAGGACAGTAGCAAAACTGTAGCCAGTATAGAGTCAGTGAATCTGAGACAAGGCCAGCACACACACAACTCTCTCCTCTTTCTATGCTAATCTGTGGTTAGATTTAAATGGCAGGCAGCGGTGACTGGAGCCGTGGTAGGCGATAATAGCAGCACAGTCTCTTTGAAGAGTTATCACTCCCTCACATTAATGAGGGCAGAGAGCTGAGGTAAGACTCAGCTTCCATTACCCTGTGCCACACCCTACACCCCACACCACCAAGGCTGAGGCTTGGCAGCTGATCAGCCGAGCTCAAGGTCTGATTCACAATGGCCTGATTTAACCTCTCAAAGACTGTAACAAGTCTACACATGTGTTCCTTACTCACCACTACTTATCATTTGCTGTGAGTGCATGATTACTGCCTTTAAAATGGTCTTCAGTGTGTGTGTGTACTGCATGCGGGTGAAGTCAAGCCCATACAAGAGGGCCCCCACAGAGGGTGGCTCATCACTTAGCTGTCAGTGAGTCTGCAGGATTACTCAGCATACAAAACGATGGTTTCTAAGTGTGTGTGTTCACCTGCGTAATGTAGGTGAAGAAACCTGCTGTCTTCCTGTCAGAGGAACAGTTGCTCCTCCTCCGCTCTGCATCGCGACCCCACTCCTGAGGTTGTCAATCTCAGAGACACCTTTTTCCCGATCTGTCTGATTGGCCAGCAGGCTTGCTGAGCCGTTGGCCTTGGCTATGCTGATTGAGTTTTTCCCATGAGAGGTGACAGAAAGCACAGCGGCTTCAATGCTGCTGGTGGAGGAGCGGTTCCCATTGCGGGCGGCTGCTCCAGAGCGGCTGGGTCTCGGCAGGCTACGGTACTGCAGGGTGGAGCGGGCGCTCATCGGGAGGAAACCGTCATCATGGTGTCCTAACACTGTGCCTCCATCCTGCCCGCCAGCCTTCAACCCTCCGGACAGTGAGCGCGCCCCAGATTTAGGCATCTTCCCCAGTGTAGCCGAGCCGCTGGTGATGGTGGCACCACTGGCGGTAACCATTGTTACCATCCCATGGCCTTGCTTCTTGAAGCCAAAGGTGCTGGTTGGGGTGCGTGAGGTCAGTGCGTGCGTCTGTGTGTGGGGCTCGGAGACGGTGTTTGTGAGTGTGTGTGTTGTCGGTGTGCGGCTGGTGGGGATCGTCTGTTTTTTGGCCTCATCACCACTGCTGCGCCCAGCATCCGAGGGTGAGCGATGAAGGCCGTTGGAACGAGGAGAGAGACGTCCTTTTTCTGACACCTTAACATCATCTGTCTTACCTGCAGAACACAGAATGAGACATCAGAAACACAGGCTTTCAAACTCTGACTTGACATCTCATTTTTCTCAATACAGTGACACCTGCATCTATAAAATGTGACAAATTGTCCTTATGTCTAAAAGTTTATTCGTCATACTTGACTTTAATGATCATTTTTTTATTATCAGTGCTGGATGATCATGTTACCTGAACTGTGGGTCTTGTGGCTCACTGAACCAGTGGAGCCTGTGCTACTAGTGCTTTTAGTCCGGGGTGACGTCACCCCCACCTGAGTGCTCATGCCTCTCCTCCAAGAGCCAGTGTGGGACACGGAGGGAGTCTTTCTTCCTGAGCCACCCTTGTCTGACTCATCAGAAATGTCGGAGGGGTTCCGACGACTCCACCTGGAACCTGTTTCCATCCTAACCCCGCTGTCTGAACGTCCGTCTGACCTCTTGACCTCGTCTCCAGACCAAGTCTGGTGTGCCGGTGTTGAGGCTGAGTGCTTCTCTGCATCCGTTACAGGCTGGGAAGACATACAAAGATAGTCAGATTTACTGCAGTAGTAGAGAATGTGGCTCTAAAAAGCCCCCTTTTATGACCAAAGCCATCATACTGGTTAAAGCTACCAGCATTTACGCCGTCATCACCACCTGTGCAGCTGTCTGAGAACATCTGGGCTTAAGCATCTCGAGCACTAACAGCTTATACACTTTTTTACCTTTGCTTTGTCAAGCAGTTCATGTTTTTGAGGAAGCTACTTCATTTCAAAATTTTCTGAAGCAAGATGCAAGCCTTTTAAAACTCCGATAGGTGATCATTGAAATCATGCTGACTGTTTAAGCTTTACCATTTTCAATTTGCTGTTACAGCTCAGCCTTAATTTGTAAATTAGTAGATTTCAGCTACAGGAAAGATGACAGCAGCTTTTAAGTAGATTCTGCAGCTTTCCAGACAACGGTACAAAAACGCAGCTCTGCTCACAGACCTTAAAAAAAAATCCAGCCAATATAGGATTCCACGAGGACAGATGACACACACTTAATGAATCTGGCTGCTGCACTAAGAGAAAGACGTCTTTGTGCACACCTTTGTTTTTCTTCTCCACCTCTGCCTCTGAAGCAATAACAGACACGCGTCAGCCACAACACAATGTGTGTGTGTGTGTGACATAAACATGTGAGTTAGCTGTTAATATTCTCATTTCACCTCTCAACTTCCTGAGCCTTTAGTGGCTCAAAATCACTATTTAATGGTTTAAAGCTAGTGTCAACACCAGCTTTAGCTTTGAGAGTTCAGAGATGTGCCGAGGAATGCTGGGACAGACACAGTTAGAAAAAAAAAATTGAAGTAGAGCAGACAGACGCTCATTCAAATCAATCAAAATAAAAAATAAAAATCCAGGCCATATGAGGCCCTTCACAAATTTTCATCTGGCTCACATTTTAAAAGATAGAATATGTTAATTTTGGCCCAGAGAGTTACATACACTCCCTGCAAATGCCAAACTAAACGGACAGGCACGTCTCCACTGCACCTGAAGATTAAAGAACACAAGAAAAAAGCAAAGTTCATTTTGAAGGCAGATCATTTCAACTCAGGTGGGAGACTGAGTATGTTTTTATAGAGTGTACAAAGAGGCCTGTATGTCCATTGGCCATCAGACAGTTTCTAAATTAAAAAAAAACATTAATGCCTTGCTGTCATTTTGAATCTACAAAGCAACAAAGATCTGGAGCCACAGATGGAAACAAAGGCTTCAGAAAGTTGTTAAACTCAAAGCAGGCATGCAACTACAGCAGAATGTTTCCAACCTCAGATACAGATGGTTTCATATTTATAACTAGCGTCAAGACAGAAGGTTAGGCTATAGATTACAGGTTTGTTAAGACTTGCAGACATGTGTGCAGCAACAACAATAAAGATTTATTATTTCTATTTTCAAATAAAGACTGTGGTTTTATCAAGCACCCCATATTTTCAGCTGTCAAATTAAAATGTCATGAAACAGGTTGGTGTGAGGTGCCCGGATGGTGGACCTCTTACACAACCATAATCAGAAAACACTGTTATGTCCTAAATAACAACAGCTAACATTTTTCTTGACTGGTACCCTTGAGGCACAAAGAAAATGCCTGCTCTATTTTGGCGAAATAAATCAAAAATAATGATAAAACAAAAATGATCATCTTTGACGAGAAGCTCTAAACACTCTTAAAAAGACTGCAGTGTTCTTGAGTGTGTAGTCTCACCTGTGTACTGAGGCCCTTGCGCTGTGCTGCGGGGGTGTTGGCGTATGAGGAGATGGAGGAGCTGGTGTTGATGTCATCTGTGTCGATGTTGTCGCTGATGCCACTGCTCACAGAGCTGCTGTCGTCCCAACTAGACACACACACACACACACACCAGTACAGGAGGAAACACTCATTTTAAATAGTGCTTCTTCCAGAGTGAAGACAAAAAGGAAGACAGCAGAGCTTGGAGACACCAGACTGAATTGTGATGCTTCTTATCCTATGAATACAACACTGCACTACCTAAAAGTAATTATTCTGTTCCCTTTCCCCCATTTCCATATTTCTTTTCAGGCACAGACGCACAGAACTTTGAGCACTGCTAAACTGAAATAAACGTTCAGAGCTGCCTCGTGATTTATATTCATTGAAATTGAACTGAATTCAGTGTGGGTACACACACACACAAACAGGCTGAATGGGGTTGTCTATCACACGAACAAAGGCGCAATGGAGGGGTGACATCATGGTGTGCTTGTGTGTGTCTGAACTGTTCAAACAGACCCATCTGAACAGGATATTTGTAAATATGCGTGTGTGTGTGTGTGTGTGTGTGTTGCTTAGAATCTGTGGGGGACAGGAAACCCAGCCAGTTGGCAAAGATCACTCTGAAAGGACCGGGGGGGGGCAAATGGTGATGGCCGGTACAGGGTTGGCATCAGAACACACACGCGCACAACTCTTGTCAAGCTGTCACTTGCATTTTTAAGACTCATCGAGGACACATGCTTGTCTCAGTATATTGTACGTTTCATCTACAAATACTCTTTATAAGTTAGTCTGTCAGATAAATCTGTTATTACCTAAAATGTTCTATTTCTAAAATGAAGTAAAACCAGAGAATTTGTAAACTATGAAGGTTGTGCTGTATATGATTTAAAACAATACAGGTTGAATTTGGATTTCTTTGAGCAGTTTGTGTTTTTCTGCAGCTTTCCCTTAACAAAATGAGCAAAACTCCTCAAATCAACAATAGTGTCTGAACATAAGCACCAACACAAGAGCTTCGTCTCATTAAGGGTACGTGTTTGAAAGACCACCAAAAACCTAAACTCAAATATCCCATCGTTTATTTTCTAACTGCTCCAATTCCTCATTCATCTTGCAGTCTTGATTTTTATACAACATTACTGCTCAGTGGCTAACTTGGAAGTCCGCATGAAAACATATAATTATGGCCTTAAAAAAAAAGAGAAAACTAAACAAAAACAAAGCATTTCCTATGGCAAAAATCCCAGACTCAGATTGCCACCGAAACCTAATCAGCTGTTTCTTGGCAGACTCTAAACAAAATACATCTGCTGCTTTTGGAGCAACCTTGCTAACAACCTGACAAACAGAGACAGGGGAAAACACAACTTCCTTCTGGGATCACCGGCACAAGCAGAGTGAGTGGAGCCATTGGCTTTCAGAGTTGAAAGCATCCGTAAAGCAAACGAGCTGTGAGGTGCAGAGAGATTGAGAGTGACCGCAACCGGTTCAGCTCATCCACACAGCCACAGGGGAAATTCCCACACACATCAATGCAAGAAAAAAAAACCCCAAAAAGGAAATAAAGATAACATATGAAATCTGCAATGGCCTTTGCAGATTCTCAACAAATCATAGCTGTCTGTGCTAAAGGACAAACTTTCTACTTTCTTTTATGCGTTTGTGCGCGCACACAAAGATAAGAACACACATAGGTATCTACCTGCTCAGGGTGCCTTGGTTGCTGTGGGAAGCAGAGCGCTGCGGGAAAATGCCGAGCTGGACAGAGAGCTTCATGACTCCATGCCGCTGAGAGAGTTCACGCAGCCAAATATCTGTCCCACTCCCTCTCTGTCTGTCGCTCTCTCACTCTGAGCTTCCTCAATGTCTCTCGCTCCCTCTCTTGCCCTGGCAAAGTTCCTAGATTGAGCTCCTTTGTCACTCGTTGCGCTGATGCTTCACCCCTCGGGCACTCTTCGTCTCTCTCTGGACTAACAGAGAGAGAAACCTGTAAGGAGGGGGGGAGAAGGGCCTGCCCTACTGCTGGTAACATGAGCTTCCCCCGGGACTTTTAACCACTTCACTGCTGCAGCCGCACCACTAAAGAGTGCACACTGAAACACACCCCAAGCCCTAAATAAGCCACTTCAGCCTGACAAAAATCAAGAGGCAACAAAAGTCAAAACTGCATGATCACAGACAAAGTCTCTGAAACTAAAGGACAATCCGCATCCCGCTGCTGCTTTTTTGTGTCTTTCCCAGCCATGGCTTATGCCTGTGTGTGTGTGTGTGTTTGTAAGACTGCAATTTCCCAGACAGATCCACCCTGACCAGCTGACAAGCCAGTGCTAATTAGAGATCAGGCCAAGCGGCGTGGCTCAGCCCACAGCCTCCCGCTGGCAAAGCAACCTGCCAGTTAACAACCACTGAACCCTTTACAGCCAATCACAGGAGACAGAGACGGGGGGAACCGGTGCCAAACACAGGCCAATGAGGTCGGCATTTAATAGATCATCACACTGAGGGGATGATGTGATGTACTCCTAACTCTTCCAGTTTACCCAAATCATAAAATTATATATTTTCTCCTCTTAACCTTTTACAGGATCAAGTCATGTAGAAAATTTCGGGATTTTTAGATTTCTTCCTCTAACATAATATAACAGAAGCAAGCGGGATAGGGTATGGAAATGAACGGAAAAGTGACTCTTACATGTAGTGGAGTTTGCAGTTAAACTGTATGTGCAAGTTTGTCATTCATCGGGATGACATGCGGCTACACTGTGTCACTCTGCAAACCAGTCAAACAGGACAGAAGTGAAGAAAGAAAGTGACCTAAATGAAGAGAGAGCGAGAACCCTCGTCTCAAACCAGGTCCCTTTAGAAAACTTGCTGCTTTCCCGAAGGGGTCAGAGTTCAGAAGTCAAACCTCCAAAATTCCTTAAAGAGAAAAGCAGAGAGGGGGAGGCAAGAGGATGAATGAAAAAAATGGGCTCCTGCTCGGGTCAGCCAATAGAAGTGTCTAAAAGTGTCCTGAGAAAAGGGCAGCGGTTGTGTTTGTTTTAACTTTTCTTGTGTGTGTCCCTTGAGGCTGTGGTGGGTTGGTCTGCTGTACTGTACCCCCCCTTCCTGAAAAGCCCAGTCCGACTCTGGCACATGCACACAGGATCTGTGCCGCAGAAATGTACACACAGACGTGGGGCCACAACAGAGCTGCGAAGCAGAAGTAAGGGGATTTCCTGTGTTTGAGGGGGGACTACTGGTCCTCACGTTGCAGCTGTATCACATAACCCCAAACTGCTGCTCTGCCCACTATACAGACAGACAGATGGGAGAGGAAGAGGGAGCGGCTTTAACTGACGGTCTCTCTGACTTCCAGCCCTCAGGGTTTGATGCACGACGCAGATAAGAGCATGGACAACTTGACAGGTGAGTCCTGTGGAAGCATCGGGACAGAAGGAGTGTCTAGACTTTACCTCCACACAAATCAGTGCCATCATAACCATGCAAAACAATTTATTCCTATCACTAAATGGTACAGCATGAAGGATATCAATTTCTCTAAGCCAACGCTGCCTCACAACAGCATTTACACCTGCAGGTGCTCATTGCCTTGAAGCCCAGGAGGAAGTGTTTCCTGTGTTTGAGGTACTTCAAAAAGTATTATTATGGTATAAGAAAAAGTTGAAAGTCTGAAAAAAGACCATATATTTGAATACACTTAAAGCTTAAAACAAACAAACAAAACAAATGATATGAGGACTAAGTGCGAACAGTGTGAAGATGAAGGCAGTGGAGAACGGCACATTCTGGGCTGGAGCCCAGGAGCCCTGTGGTATGAAAATGACACAGCTGTCCCTGTAAGACAGGACTGGACTGGACAACACACTGAGGAATGTCTCTCTCTCTCGCTCTCTCCATTTTTTTCTCCATCTCTCTTTGGTGTCTAGTCCTATTGTCTTCTGTCCTGGGAAAACATTTGCTATCTATACTCTGAGAATTTATCAAAGCATGTAGATCCCTCTGGCTGCCGCTCTTTCACTTAGCTTCTCTTTGACTTCTCCCTCTCTCTCTTTCTATTTGATGTGTAAACACAGACTCCTTTAGATTCGACAGACTGACCCGGATCCACGGTAAAAACTCAACAAACTTTTCACACACGTGACACGCATCTCTGAACTCACGCACATGACTCCACCATGCTGCATCTGCACACGCGACAAAAAAAACCCCTAAATTTAAAAGACTACTGTGACAAACTTGGAATTCCTCATGTCTGCAGGCATAAACACACACCGCACTCAAAACTAACCTACTGTCACCTCAATGCTAGAATGAAGCACAGAGCTGTGACTCCTGCCTGTAGACCATCGGTTAAGGAAACAGGCTCCCGGGATCGCTGGGATAAATAAAGAAAGAAAAGACGGCTACAACATAAAAACAGATTTTTCCTAAGCTGTCCCTTTTTTTTAATACTCATCTGGTTTGAAATCTTTAAAAGAGTCCCCAGATGACAGATGATAACCCACTTTAAGGAAATAAAACATTTTCAAGAGGCTTCTCTCTTACTCTTGAACCATTTGTGTTTTTCTCCCACTTTTCTAGTTTTTCGACAGATGCTCTTGGTTGGGTTTCCATCTAAGCTAACGATTAGTCATGCAGTGCAAGACTGTGCAGTAAATACAACTGCTGATGTAAAAAAACAAAAACAAAACCCCCCCCCAAAAAAACCCATTCCTGTTTAACATGTATCAGCTGTATATCTATTATATAAATATACAACTGGGATAAATGAAGGATAACATTTGGGAATCATGGGACAAAATATGCTGTCTGTTTCAGGTCTGCAGACCTGAAACACACTCGTGTCCCTAGAGCTTTTCCTGAGCTCACATGGTGAAACGTGGATAATCAGCTTAATACTTTAAAGCTGCAACCTGCACGAACCCCACTCCCTTACTCCCCATCTGAATTCAAGCTAACATGGAAAATATATGATTCAGGGAAGGTATGGAGAGTTAAAACTTACTCTGTGTTGCTGATTCCACAAACCACTCGCTGTAGATTAGTTAATGCTCGTTTGATCTGCATTCCCCATCTATTATCACCTCCTGGTCT